CCCTGCGCTGCTCAGGACCCAGGAGCCGGGTCCCTGCCTGGGGGATGGGGAGCGGGACACGCTAGGGACCAGCTAAGGGGGCGTGGCCCCACTGCCCCGGGCAGCCTGTCTCTCTCCCTCGGTGTCTGGGGCGCTTGTGTCTCTATTGCCTATGGATTATGGGTAGACAGCTATGAGGATTCGCATGCACATCCCACGGTCTGTACAGGGGTGGTTGGTCCCCAGCCTGGGCAGCAGCCGTCATTTTTTCCGGGCCAGGAAGACCACACCAAGAATCAGGGCTACGGCTGCCATAGCCGCCCCCCCAGCCAGCAGCAGGGGGGTCAAGTTCTCGAAGGCGCAGGGGCCTCGGCCCCCCGGGCCCCCACTGGGGACCTGGTCCTCCTCGGCCCCGTCGCCTGGGCCCTTGGGCTCGGGGGCCGCGTTGGGGGCCGCGGGGGCCGGCTTCAGGTTGCTGTGGTTGTTGAGAAGGGCAGGGTCCGCCTTGGCCGGTGTCTTCTTGGCAAGCGGCGGGGCAGGGGCCACCGGCGGCTCCTGCTTCTCCCCTTGGGCCTCCTTCTTCCCAGGCTTGGCCGAGGGGCCTTTCCCGTCCGCAGCCGGGGGGCCTCTGACCTCCGCACCGGCCTGGGGCGCCTTGGCATCGGGCTTGGGGCTGCTGGCCGTCTTCCCTCTGGACTCCATGACGCTGTGTGGGGGTGCGGACAGGCAGGCGGCTGGACCACAGCGGCTCAGGACAGCTCACCCCTGGGCATCACGTGGGCCTGGAGGGAGACAGAAGGACGCCCCATCCTGTCCAGTCCCCACCGCCTTGTCCCCATAGAGACACCTCTCAATCCCCTGGACCCCTAAAAGCCCCAGCTCAGAATCCTCCTCTGCCAGGGCCCAGCCCCCTCCTGTCCCTGGCCACACCCGGAGAAACCCTCCCCCCACACACGCCCAGCCAGAACTGCTGTTTCCTTGTCTATAAAATGGTCTTCCCTACACTCCAGCCGCGTCCATGACGCTGGCCCAGGGCAGGGAGGCCCTGGCAGGGGAGCCAGAGCCACCAGCTCGGAGAGGGTATGTGGCCAGGGGAGGTGGGCAGCAGCCAGGGGGTCTGGGCAGCACCGACCATGTACCCTTCTGAAAGGGACTGGGTCCAGGCGGAGGGGGCAGGGCAGGGTGAGAACCTGGAACTGGGCTCTCTGGAGCCGGCAGGGTGGGAGTGGCCCCCGGGCACCAGGACCTGGATGCAAACACCCTGCGGTGACCCCAGGAGGCCGGAGAAGCCCGGAGGGGAGTGACAGGCCACCTGCCCTGCGCCCCCCCAGCACCGGCCTCACCTGCTGCAGCTCAAGGGCAGGGTGTCCTTCCTAAGCCACAGGCTGCACCTGCCTGGGGGGGGGCGGGCAGGCAGAGGGGATCCGGGTTTGCCCAGCGGGGCACACACCTGGCAGTCAGCCTCAGCAAGGGGCCAGCGGAGGAGGGGGTCTGGGCTGGAAGAAAGGCTGGCCCCACCCTGAATGCACAGGGCGAGCTGAAGGGGCTGGGCGCCTGCCCCTGGGCCTAGCCGTCCCTCCCTGCAGACCTGACCCTGCCTGTCCCCTCTCCCCTGGGAGAATGAGAACGCCCGCCCCCACCCCGGGCGGGGGGCCATGGCAGCCCAGGTTCCTCACCCGGGCCACATGGAAGGTCGCCTGAAGGTCACAGCATGATGGGGGTGTCCCAGGGAGAGGCCCCGCTGCTGCTCCACTTCCCAGGAGCCCAGCACCCCACCCGCCCCCGCCGATTTGGAGGCGCACCCAGCCGCTGGGAGTCAAGTTTGCGACGGGCAGGTGGTCTGCTTCCCCCACGGCCCTCGCTTA